ATACATGAATTGTTCGTACTCTCGAAGTCACAGATGCAAGTCACAAGACGGTTGGATTGCCAATGAGTGAAATACTAGTAACCAGTGTATTTGAATTCTGCGTACGCAGTGTCTATTTACAGTCACATGCCTGTACCGGAAAACGCTCTGCCATAAACATTATGCGGTTGTATTAGCAGGAGTGATATGATACCCTATAATTAAGGTATTTAGCTTCTTGATTATTATATTAGGGCAAAAGTAGCTCGTCATAGCCAGGGCGTGACCAAGTATGTAGCAGCTGTAGGCCCGGCCTACACTTTTTTTTGCCAAGTTATCTTCTTTTTTTTAAACAGTCCCAACTAATTCAAATCCATAACAGCTTTGGCATGGACGAGTTTAAGAAGTCCTAAGACAGGAAAAACTGAGTTGAAATGAACGTAGCAAGCAATAGGCTAAGTTAAGGTCGACCTATTCTTCCTGTCATCTATAGCTGTGCTGTCATTTCTAATCGCGGTGCCCGTTTCCATTCCCACTCTACACCCGCCGAAAAGACTAGGATCCATTCTTGTTCAGTTTTTTTAACGCAATTTAAGCTATATCGTTCCGTGAACAACTGATTTTAACTCGTTTGTGGTTTTTTGGTTTAAAATAGATATTGAATTAAGTGCTCTAGGAGTTTAGCAAGAGAAGTCATGGGAGACCGAGATATGAAGCACTCGACGAAGGGGGGCGTTTCCGGCCATCTGGGGGTTTGTAAAACGCAAAAATTTCTTGTACGCTCCGCGCCAACCGATGGTGGCGCTCCCGCTCGGATGAGGTCAGTCGTGCGCTACAACTTTGCAATACCATGGCTACGGCCACTGGATCAGCCTCCATGATGCAATAGCTTGCTACTTCATTTACATAGTTGCGCCCCGTTTCGGCTGCAGGTATTACATGAAGCCCTTTACTCTTGCACATGAAAACTTTGTGCATCAGACTCACATATGGGTCTCAGGCAGGCGTGCCCGTACTCCTATCATTTCCCTTAACGCAGGTCAATGTTACAGATATAGATTATACGTGCCACATTTACGTGTCACTGCGGTGAATTTTTACAGGTATCCTAAGGCGATCAAACATAACTAACGTTATTACGCCCTTGGGAGTAGGTACTAGGCTGATTGGATTGTCACCCGCCCGCCTAAACTGGTGCAAGATGTCTGATTCTATAACTAGCTCGGACTTACTTGATTCTAATCTAATGTTTATGTTAGTGTGAGAATTCTATATGTTGACGCATGTTCTTGGCATTGTGGAAAACAAGGACTAAGACCATGTTGCCTCTATATCACTATGTGCATTGTTAGAGCAATCTTATAGTAATCGCTCCAACGTATTTTTCTTTTTTTAAACAACAACATATTATGCGAGCAATGTGTTTTGTTTCACGAGTTTCAGTAAAATACGTGTTATTCTATTATATATTTATTACTACCAACGCTTCAAATGTCCGTATGCCTCAGCGATCGTATCTTGATGTTGAACCAACCGATATATTTCTTGCCTTTCGCGTATTGTATTTGTTATGTGTAAAGGCCACTCGCACACTAGGGCAATATTGCTCGCGGTCCGATTGGCTTTGCTATGTTGCTCTAGTGTTCTGTTGGCCTTAAGGGATTACACGTCAAGGCCTAACCCCTGTTAGCATGATCACGAAAGAATGGAAACCCCTGCTCCCCTTCCCGTAAATGCTAGATGCGTCTATTGCGCTTACACTCTGAGCAGTGATGTGGCCGAGGATGAATATATAATAGATTATCTCCTATGTGGTCTCATCACTTCTATACACGGCATGCCAAAGCATCTGAACGATTACATATAAGATCTATATATACGTATCAGGAGATTTACAGATGATATTTACCGCTTATTTATTACAATTTTCATACTCTCGTATTTTATTCTAGTTGGTAATATATGGCGAGTGAATATAGCTTACATTATGTAGTGGTTATACGATCTCATACAAATTTGGGCTTTTTGGGCAATTAAAATGGAAAATGACATATGTAATAGTATTTTGAACTTATTGTGTGATAGCCAATGTTAAATAATGATAATTGTCCTGTTAACTAGGTAGTCGTAGTATACACAGGTACATGTAAAATAAATACTAAATCTATTTTTCCCTATTACTCGATAAGATAGGTTTTCCAATTAATTGCTGTAACCTTTGTTTTGTATGTGAAATGGTTCGTCGCCACCCATTGTGACGCCTTCATGTGAATGGACACCTATTAGAAATATCCGAAAGTCTGTTCTTTTTGCAAAGACGGTTTTTGCTTCTCATGCTGTTAATTGCTTCGTTCGATGAACCACGCAAGGAGTGTATT